TACCGCTGTAGGTCAACCATCGTGAACATAAATTCGCTATTTGTTTTACATAAATTGAACTTTCATTAGGATCATCATGCTGGACTTGCTAGGCATGTTTGTTGCCTGTATAAAACAGTTGTACCATTGTTACATCGTTCATGACGGGTCAAAGGCAGGACGAAACAATGCAGTCGTGGAGTGCAGGGTTGGGAGGAAGCAGATCCGAAAGTCTCCAGTTCGGATCCGGCCTCAATGATCGGAATGAAGAAAGTTTGCTTCAAAGCATGCTGTAGTCGCAATGGAGAGTACGTATCGCAATCCAGACACAAGGCTGATACTCCAAGACTCAAAAATGAATTTCCAACCGTTGTGGTAAGCACTGCTGTGAAGCTCTAGACTAGTGACCCTGACGAACGCCGTCAACCACTGTGTTGGCTTCCGCTCCCCTCTCATGCTATTTCCACTTGATCAATCCACATCAGGACGAAACTGGTCAGTCGTTGGGTTTAGTCTTGGGCGAAAGCAGTTCCGAAACTCTCCGACTCCCAACATAACTCAGTGCTGGCTTATATTCCTCGGATTGCTCTCTCTTCTATCCTAATGCCTCGAAACATATCTGTAAATGTGCAAATGACTAGTCAATCAAGATACGATCAGGCACGTTGCCTCTCGCAGTCCCAATGCTCGCAATCTTACTCCTCACCAAAATATTATAGCCTCTGTTACATACTCGGGGGTTGACTCACATTCAGCCTGGATGCAGCATGATCCAACTCTGCCTTACTCCTTGACTCTATCCATTTTTATCCATCTACCTAGCTATTACGCGCATCAACGTAGGTTAGTTCAGCTATGACCCCCTCTCTCTGTGTTTACAGTATTGTTATCAGGTTTTACTCACATACGTATCTTTCTAATTTGCTCATATTGATTACAATTCTCTCATCTCATCGTACGCCGACATGTAGTACTGCCCACCTAAATGCCTAGCCGCTCATGATTGATCTAGAACCCATCCTTTGTCGGTCTCGGTGCGCCACGTCATGATATTTCCACCCCTCTTATGTATACAAGCGCTCACCAACCTAAGCCTAAATAGTAAATCTACCATTCCACTTTCGGTTATTGAGCCATCTTCACACTATCCACAGAACTTCTTTGACTGATGTGTCCACTACCGAACGTCAACTCGGTTTCCGTCTCCTCCATATTTTGTGTGACATTTCTGCATCATTTCGTCATTCTACACTTGCTTTTTCCCACCTGCTCATTTGATACCCTCTTCCTCCTTGGTGCCTTGATTTATAATCTACCCTTACGTTCTTATCTAGCCGATTGAAGTGTTATTGGACACACACGCTCTAGGGTGACAGGCTGATTATGTGCGTCACAGTACCTTGCCCATTCCAGATGAAGTGATCATTCACTATGACACATAACAAATTCTGTGTGAGAATACTTAGCACAGTAATCAACTATGTTTACACAGTGCTTATTCATGTAACTATCATTGCTCGAGTCCTTTTCCCTCCGTCGCGTATGGGTGCTCTCTTCTTTGAGTGGCATTCTTCGCCATTTTCTCTCCCGAGATCTCATATGAAGGGGTGACAGAACTTGCATGGTTAGTCTCGTCCCCGGAACGATCTACACAGGGAGTACTCACTTCATGTAGAGCTGACTAGTTGCTACGCCTACACACCCTGTTGTTTCACGTTTACGAATAATATCCTACCTTGTCAGCCTCTGAGAAACTTCAATCGAATCATTTAATTAAACCGTAGTCACACTGTCCTGCGCACTATTGTAGTAAAGAAAGCGAAGATCACCTCTAGTGTACAGCGCGACAGAAATATATCACTGTATTTATACTGGTAATTAAGAACACCAACGGTAAGCACAAAGGTAGCTTATTTATACGCAATGAACAGTGATTTATAACGGGAAAATTCAGCAACCTGAAGAGTTCCCTAAGAGGGTTGGAGTGAAAATAAAAGAAATCAAAAGAGAAGTGAATCGTCCGTTTAGGCGCACTGCTGTAAAACGATAGGTTAAAATATGAATTGAATGTATACACACACAGTAATATAGGAATCCGTTACAGTTTAAACGCTTCACGATAAAAGATAAGCTTGCAAAAATTTCACTCGTGTGCCAATTCAGTAAACCGACTTTATACTTAAATCCAGTTAGGGTACTCCAAAGCTATTCACATTAGAGTGACGCGGAAAACAGCGCTCACGCAGGAGAAGGAAAAGCTACTAGTACGAGTGAGGATGGAAACGGGCGCAGATATCATGGACAGGATCGGACGACGCAACCTCAGCCTAACAATAAGATCGAAGAGCGAGACGCCAGCGACGAACGGGCACGTACCTGTTCCAAAGAGTAACGTAAAGGGATGTGTCCCCAGGGCGATAAATCAAACAAAAGTATCTTTGTCGGTGAATCCAGGAGTAACCACAAGCCGAATACCGTAACCGACATCAAGCAAGTCAAGAGCTTTAGAACAACTTCAGGCTGGTCAGAATGCGAGCTACGGAAGCAAAGCTACGGGGTCATACAGGCAGCCAGGGCCACGAAATATAAAGGCTAAATAGGCATAAACGGGGCATCTTATGATTCTTCATGTATGTTGCCTTGTGGGACGGACACATGGTCGACAAATGAGCGCGTCTGCGCAGCTTGTGGAAACCGCGGTCGCGTGCAATACAGATTGTGCTTTCTTGCTGCTTCATTCTTGCTACAACATCAGCACTGATTCCGTTTTCCTAACAGCCGCGTTGCGGAGAGAGCTGTTGAACGCATTGTTTGGTTCCGGTTATGTCGTCCCCCTAGTGAAACCGCCAATATGAAGAAATGCAAATAGCATAGCGCGTTATTAATCCGCTTTTCGAAAAGCGTTAATGTAGCGACAAAGATAACATAAGTTGAAAGGTCCTTCTTTGTTCAGGACACCCGAAGGAAGGAAACATTTTGTCGACAATCAAGTCCACTGTAGTGTGTGGCACGTTTGAGCTCGTGGCCACTTAATCTGATACTTTGGCTTCGTTGCAACAGGTCGCGGAAGGCGTGATTCGGATCTGTCAGCACTAGCTAAACCATGATGCATCCTTGCTAACGCCGTTAGTAAACACTGTACAATCTTGGGGATTGTATTCTGCGTTGTTAGGGGTGGTGAAAAAATCCCCAGCGAGTTTGGTTGTTCTACATTAGTGAGCTTCAAGTGCATTAACTTAGATTGCCCCAACTATACCAAGCTTGAATGGCATACTCCGCGTGGGGCCGTACACAAGTTCAAACGTTCCGAAATTCTGCAGTAAGAGGCTACTTGCTGACTGGCTCTTCTCGATGCCTTATCGACCTGTTTCCAGCAGCCAAGATCATCCTGCACGATTACCCTAGAAAGCTTTCCTGGGATCTACGTTGCACATTCTGGTCCCTATGTCAATTTTCATGGGTAAGCTAGTGGCGTACGCACACGAATTTGCATTTCGTCATATTGAACTCTAGTCGGTTTTCGGAGGAACATGTGTAAGCGCTCTCGAGCTCCCTTTGTAGGGCCACGAGATCGCCCACTGTCTGAATGTCAGGCCGGACCTTAAGGTCGTCTGTAAGTAGTAAGAATTCTGATTTCAGTATACTAGCATTCTCGTTAATACGTACTGGGAATAAACTTGGTGCCAGTGTAGCGAGAACGACACGGTAGGGGAGAACGCTGTTTATTGCACGCTGAGAGGTTCACACACATATCCCACGCACACACACAAATATAGCCGCGTTTCCCACTTACGACGCACCACGTTCCGCCGAGTGAAGTGGTGTCCACTAAGCGCCATTAGGCTGATCCGACGTGGACATTGAATGTGCCGTTTTTCGCCCACATTTCTGCTTCCTTGCGTCGCAGTCTATCCAGACTGGATTCCTACCAAAGCTCTCGACTTGCTTGCTCGGGGCTGTGTTGCTCTGGTCGGGCCGAATCCTGGGGTCGTAGATAAAGGCATATCTCTTGGGAAAATCGGGCTCCCTTTCATGTCGCCACTTGTTCTTCTCGGCGTGGCCGCGGTATCGTTTGTCGCTGACGACCCATTTTCGGCTTGCATCGTAGGCCACGAACTGGGTTGACGATTCCCGTCCCCAGTCTCCGAGTTAGTCCCGATCTCCTGCTGCTTCCGGGGCATTTCCGTGTGAACTGAGATCCGCGCCCCTATACCAGTACCGATAATTGGGGCATGCCCCACTAGACGTCAATTGAGTCGGAAATGGAGTTGCGGACTGTCACATTCAGCTGAAGTTGAATGAAGAAGTTGCTTATTCAACCGTGCATAAGGTCACCGATTTCGTAGATTTAAAGCTTGTGAAGAAGAATACAGGGGCTTAGGGTGTCTAGGCTAAAGCTTTGAAGACACGGATACACCAGGTCAGGGATGAGATCTTATTCTAATCACAAGCAAGTCATAGAAATGCCAGCGCGATTCCACGTTGAAGATGGCGTGAATATGTGCCAAGTTATTCAAACAGTTGCACGTGGGTGAGCATTGACGGAGGTCTTAGATCCTCTGGGCACACGACAAAACTTTAAGGTTTCATTTAATTCTTTCATCATACCTCAAGCGAATGGAAAATCATTTGGCTCCTACAATGCTGCTTCTTGTCACATTTGTTAACATCCATCTATCTGGCTTGTAAAGGGTAGGGCAGTGAGCGCTTTTCTAATAATCTGGCCACGCAAAATTAACGCGCGTTCCTGTCATCCAAAAAATATTGTATCCCACTTGCTCATAAAACGAGCGTTCCGCAGCTGACCATATCTGAACAACTTCCGATTTTTCCATCATCTTCTTATGGTTTTTCTGTGCACATGTTCAATCCTGCGACCATGCATATGCATGTGTCTCGCAATGCCGTGAACAAATTATCTAATTATTTATTGTTGAGAATATATACTGTCATATATGATTTAAGCTGATCTGTATATCGCACCCACTGCCCGTAAATGCAAATCACAATTTTGTCACCAGGTTATCAGCTACTCATCCACTATGCTCAGAACCGCAGGCTTCCACGAGCAGTACATACAGTACTGTGTGCTAGCAGTCGGTGTACTAAACATACTGGTGACGACAACCGCGCTGCTGCTACTACAACACGCTGGACGCCGAACACTTCTCCTCTGGCCAACTCTGGTTCTCACACTGGTCCTTCTACTGCTGACAGTTACAGTGAACGTGTCCACAGATGCGACGTCTAGATCGTTGCAGCGAACAATGGGACTCGCCTCAGCTATACTCATCCTCGTCTATGTTGGCGCATTCTCGCTGGGCTTGGGTTCAGTTACCGCGTTGATTGTGTCCGAACTATTCCGTCAAGAGCCTCGCGCAGCAGCATTCTCGCTGAGTCAATGCCTATACTGGTTCTCGAATCTGCTAATCTTGGGCACTTATCCAAGCATTGTTGTGAGTGGCAGTTTGGTTTATGTTAAACGTTAGTAAATAATGCATTTTTATTTCTTACATGTCATGGGAAATATGTGAATTTGAAACAAAAGTGAAGAGGTTTACAGTCAGTTCTATTTTATCACACTAGTGTTGAGGGTTTTGGCGTTAAATGTGCTGGAGGATGGAGAGCAGGTTCGAGCTCTCTATCATTTGCAACCATTGTAAGTGCACGAGACTTCAGGATTATCGGCGCTGTCAAATTTGTGTGCTTAAAATTATCAGTGCCGTTACCCACCAGACTCACTGACCTCAGTGGGTTTTCCAAATCGTCAGTGAGAGTGTTGTTTTGTTCAGACAAACAAATTAGATGTTCAGAGCATTCTTAGTGAGTTGAACGGGCGGTGTTAAATGCCGTGACTGTCCGACTAGTTTTGGATAACATGGCTGAAGTATTATTTACCGACTTTGCAGACGTGTCAATGTGGCAGGAAAAGAGGCACAATTTATTGACCGGTGATTTGGCTCTTGCCGCGGATGTCCGCATACCAATAAGTCTGTAGTCGAATGCATAATCAGAATGGGTTCTAGAAGTTTTGCTACTTGCAAAGAAGTCAGCAATTCGCAGAGGCTGACATGTGTATATTGGGGAACAATTTAAATGGATTGGATGTGTAAGAAATAAACGGCACCAAGACCGCAGAGAGAAAGTGCCTTTCAGATTCTCCGGCGTAACTACACTACTAATTTGTACAAATACTCTATCGGTGTCACATTTCTAGCCACACTGCATCGGACCGATTATTGTGATGCTGTAGCAACCCAAAAGAGATTTCTAGTTTTATGTACACTTTTATTACTCAGTGATGCAATATTGATTTTTTTAATGCCGACTCTACGGCGATTATGAACTGCATCCGGCTCACTCCGTTTCTCCACGGTGAGTTCAGTCACTAACGTACGCTCTCGTCGCTTCATTCGTTTTTCGTTCGACTGTAGCCTTCCGCGAATACAATCCGTTGTGTCCGTCTTTCAGGTTTTCTGGCATCCATACCAGAGCGAGAACACTCTCGGACTGGTATAGACTAATGCTACAAATTGGTGACCCCGATTCGCACGCGCGAATCTTCAAATTTTTTGATCGCCTCATTTTCGGTGAGTTCGTTCCGAGTCGTTTTTCCCTAATCCCTGGTGGATTATTTTCCGTCCATTTCGTTTTTAAAACCATTCGTGTTATTCATATACTATGTCTGATGCCGATGTAAAAACCGGATCGAGCAGCAGCATGAATTTGCTCACCTTGGCTATTCCGGATTTTATGGCACACAAGTCCAACGTCTGGTTTGCCATTTTTGAGATAGAGTTAGAGAACAGAGGGATCTCTGCCGACCAAGCTAAATACAACCAACTCTTCCTACGCTTTCCGCAACAGGTGGTGACACTGGATGAAGACGCACTGCTTCATCCACCGAAAGACTGTAAATACGAAGCAATGAAGCAGTTGATTCTAAAGGAGTCGCAACCTCGCACTCGTGCTCGATTGGAGCAGCTCATTCATAGCATTAAGCTAGGGGATCGCAAGCCTTTAGTTGTGCTCCGCGATATTCAACAGATAGCTAGCCCGTCGTACATGAGTAAAGAAGCATTGAAAGAACTGTGGTTCTCAAGCCAGCCTGATCCTCTTCCTTTAATGCTTGTAGCTTATCCAGATAGATCACTCAAAGAGTTGGCAATAACCGCGGACGCAGCCTTTGAGAGAATCCCTCAACACATGAAGACATCCAGTAGCATTTTCGCCACAATAGCGGATAAAGACTTGAGCGCGAAAGCGTCAGCGCAAGCAGACCCCAGAGAAGAAGAGATAGCCGCGCTTCGCAGTAAATTAGCAGCCGTGCAGTTAGAAAGACAAGGCTTACTAAGACCGCACGCCGACCACGAAATAGCCGCCGTTCGTCACGGTGCCTATCAGCCCCGGCCCCCACCGTACAGATCCAGGTCACCTCGCAGACGCAGTCCATCACCCCCTCGCAGCCGAACCCGAAGTGCCAATTTAATGGATGATTTGTGTTGGTATCATCGCCAGTATGGGGATAACGCTCGATGTTGCCGTTCACCTTGCGCCAAGCGTGGTGTAGTGGCACGGGGAAACTAGTTCTCCGGCACATGAATGCGGCCCACGCGTCCGGCAGCGACAAAACAGGCCGTCTGTTTTACGTCAAGGATAGGCGCGCCCGCCTCACTTTCCTTATCGACACAGTAGCCGAAGTGAGCGTTATCCCTGCCAGCGCGCAAGACAAGCATTCGAAGCCCATGTACAATCTACGGGCAGCCAACGGCTACCCGATAGCTTCATACGGTCGGCGCATGAGGAACCTAGATTTAAATCTCCGCAGAGACTTTCACTGGGTTTTCACGGTTGCGTCAGTACCTTTCGCAATTAGCGGCATCGATTTTCTTCGCCATTTCGGATTGCTTGTCGACGCGGGTCGCAACAGAATTTTAGATGATCATACGAAACTAGGTGTTGATGGTGTCCTTTCAGATGCCCCGATAATCAGCCCTGTATTTCGGATAACAGACGCACCGTCCGACTACTTGAGCCTCCTCTCAAAACACCCGCGACTGGTTCGACCGGCTGCAGAGCTTCTACCAGTCAAGACGGAGGTCGCTCACCACATAGTTAAGCGCGGTCAACCAGTTATCTCACGACCAAGACGGCTTACTCCTGACAAACTACGAGCAGCACGAGGCGAATTTGACCACATGCTTCAACTTGCTATCGTCAGACCGTCCAACAGCCCATGGGCGTCGCCTCTACACATGGTCCCGAAGAAGGTCATGGGGGAATGGCGTCCTTGCGGCGACTACCGATCCTTGAATACGGTGACCACGCCCGATGGCTATCCGATCCCACACATAGTGGATCTCACCGCCAATCTGGCAGGTAAAAGTATCTTCAGCGAAATCGACTTGGTACGCGCATACAACCAAATTCCGGTAGCCGAAGTGGACATCGCTAAAAGTGCCGTGACGACTCCATTTGGTTTGTTCGAGTTTCTGCGCATGCTATTTGGCCTAAAGAACGCCGCGCAAACTTTTCAGCGTTTCATCGACCAAGTTTGTCGCGGTTTAGACTTCGCTTGCGCGTATCTTGACGACATTTTAATCACAAGCTCTTCACGAGAAGAGCACATACGCCACGTACGAACACTTTTTGATCGTTTATGTCAACACGAGGTGAAGATCAACGCAAAAAATGTGTTCATTTGGTGTCGATTCAGTCAATTTCCTGGGACATCGTATCTCTTCTGCAGGCGTCGTGCCACTGCAGGATAAAATTCAAGCCATCATCGACTACCCCGAGCCTCATTCTTTCAAACAGCTCAGGTGTTTGATGGCCTTGTCAACATTCACCGACGATTTATACCCAACTGCGTCTCGCTGATGCAACCCCTCACGGACCTTCTCCGAGGGAAACTCAAGAAATTCGAATTTCCTGCCGCATCACGCGCTGCTTTTAAGTCGCTGAAAGAGGCTATCGCCAACATAGCTTCTAAAGCGCATCACGATCCGGACGCCCCACTGTCCCTCAGTACTGACGTGGCAGTCGGCGCTGTTTTGCAGCAAAGCGTAGCCGACACGTGGCAGCCCTTAGCGTTGTTCTCCAAACGCCTACAACCTACCCAATCTCGCTACAGCAGGTACGGTAGAGAACTACTAGCAGTGCATCTAGCGATACGTCACTTTCGACACGTCATAGAAGGCCGCTCCTTTGTCGTCTTCACCGACCACAACCCCCGGACATACGTGCTCGGCTCGACTACCGAACGACCGATACTCTCCTAGAGAGTCGCGCCACCTTGACTATATCGCTCAGTTTACGGCCGATATACGGCATGTCTCAAGTGTGCACAACGCCGTCACCGATGCACTTTCCCGCATCCAAGTTGCATCTGTACTCAATTACTTGGAGCCGTGCCTGCGCCGCTCACTTGTATAGGTGTGTAGGTGTGCGCGTATAGCCCGGCGCCTTCAGTCAATAGGACCTCAGACGCACTAAGTAATAGGGGAGCAGGTGCAGTGTCGGTGGCCGAGGCAGCATGTGGGCCTGAGTTTCTCTGTCCAAGGAAGCGATCCCCACCAATGACAACGAGCCTATGGATTTGAGCGACGATTGGGTTGGTATAACAAGCCACAGCCAAATAAGTTTGCCGTGTGATTTGAAACGTGCAGTTCACCTACAGTAGTGCTTCCCAACATTTTTGAGGCTGTTACCTCCAAAGCGAGATCAGTTCAATCAGTTACCCCCAAACTTTCTAAAAACCAATTAGCTAGCAACTACTACAATTTTCCTTTAAATTACAGCAAAGGAATACCATATGTCATTACGTTCGATCATACAAATAAACTAGACCCCACTGTAGTGCGAAGAAAATGCATGAGTTTCTTTCATTAAATACCGAGTTCAAAGTATTCTTGCTGATGTCCTGAACGCGAGTTTGATGGTGCTGTTAGAAAGTGATATCACACTTATCCTTATCGCTTGTTCCTGTACACCGGCGATTCTTAACATTTTTGAGGCTCTCACAAATCTGGTTTGCTATAATCAACCCGCCCTCCCCAATTGCCGTTTCAAACGCTAACTGACGAATAACTATCGCGCTGTTTGCTTCTAACCATGAGAACTGATAGCTATTTGGAATAACGCCCCAGCAATAAACGAAAGTATACTGTTGTTTGGTACAACGTTGTGTGTAATCAAGAGTCGATATATATATATATATATATATATATATATATATATATGGGTCGGTTGATATTGCTTTGTGCTAACAATTTCTGGTATATTTGGTTAACTTTCTGCTAATGCACATCGGAAGTCATGTTCCAGGTTCATTCGACTCCATGCTATTGTTCGCATTAAAACCATCGTCGAAAATCCACTTTCACAGCTATAAATTGTTGCAAATGGGATCTATATTCTCAATGCTCTTTGCGATAGCAATGGATACTCACCACCTATCTTTATCAAAAATGCTACCAGTGGTGTGCTT